CCCAGGACTCAGCACACGCTCCTACTCTGCTATGATTTATTACACGAAAGGCTTGTAACTGCAGCAAAGGGAAAGGGACATGGGGTAACATCTAGAAAAGAAACAGGTGCAGGCTTCCAAGAGTCCTTTCCCAGAGGAATCACACAGGACACACTTGATTGACCCAGTGAGTTGTGCCTACACATGCAAAGGGTTGTCTTTTAGGGAAGCTCATTAGAGCCTCAGTGCTCAAGAGAGTTTACAAGGGTCATGTGGGCACCTGTCTGGCACCTCCAACATTCCAGACTCCCACCGGGAAAGCAGGCATTCAGTGTCTTGTTTGCATAAACATTTTAGGCACAGTGAACCACTCTTATCAGTTGGGGTGGTGGGAATGCTCCCAAAATCCAAGCTCCCAGACGCCAGCTAAGGGCCAGCCTTGCCACTCAGGCCTTTTTAGGGAGAGTGGCCTTGAGCCTGCTGGGTAAACTCCTCACACCTGCCTTCCTGCGAGTGAGGTGCAGCATTAGAGAAGCAAGGAACTGAGGCCCTTAGTCCAGCAACTCCCTTGCACCCTTCCCATGTGAGCTTGGAAACAAGATTCTGCCCTGATTGAGCCTTGAGTCAACCCACTTCTTGAGAGATGTTAACTTTAAAAATACAAAACCACTCTATTAGTCTGTTCTCATGCTACTAATAAAGATATACCCGAATCTGTTAATTTATGAAGGCAAGAAGATTAATTGACTCACAGCTCCACATGTCTGGGGAGGCCTCACAATCAATGTGAAAGGTGAATGAGGAGTAAAGTCATGTACATGTTGGCAGGCAAGAGAGCTTGTTCAGGGGAACTCCCATTTATAAAACCATCAGATCACGTGAGACTTATTCACGACCACGAGACCTACATGAGAAAGCCCTGCCCCCCATGATTCAATGACCTCCCACTGGGTCCCACCCACAACACTTGGGAATGATAGGAGCTGCAATTCAAGATGAGGTTTGAGTGGGGGCACAGCGAAACCTTATCAACCATAATTTATAAAATTAGAAAACAGAGGAGACTATTTTTTGCAAAGGGTTACAGCCTGCAAGGTGGCCATTCTGCAGCCAGGAAGCACAGCTCCAGCCAAGATCAGAGACAAGCACCTGGGAGGAAGAGAAGCTGGGACAGGAGCTTTATGCTGAACTGGTTGGCTAAACATACAAATTCAACAGGTGACAGGAGGAGCTATAAATATTCATGATGGTCCTGACACATGGGACAAACATTCATGTAACATACAACCCATGTTCACTCTGGGATGTAGACTTAACATTTAAATGTACTACAGTTAGGTCCTATATGTCAAAAGGTCTTTTTAGGACATGAAGGCATCCAAGTGTGCAGCCAGCCAGGACCAGTTCATGGTCAGGAGAGTTACTGAAATCAATCTCTTTGTACTATGGGCTCTTTGTAGTACTACAAAGTAAGTTCAAATCAAAGCTGCAGTTATGGCTGGTGGAACGGGGTCAGCTAGTAAACATCTCCGAGATGGATGAGCTGTAATTGTTTAATATTTTGTATCTCGAGGCCAGTGCTTGTTTAGTTGCTAGAGAAAAAGAAAAACCTACGATTGTGTGAAGAAAGGGTAGGGATGTGTGACTTAACCCCTGCCTGGCATGGACTTGAGTTCTGTTGATGATCTGGTATCTTACTGCCATAGAGAGTCTATTTGCCAGTCTTAGGATCTCTGTTTTAACATTAATGCTGGTCAGTTGTGTCTAAACCGCAAAAGAGGGGGGGGGGGGGGGTAGAATGAGGTATGTCTGACTTCACATCCCGTTATGGCTGGGAGCTTAGTTTTAAGGTTTTTCTGGGGTCCTCTTGAACACAAGGAATCCATTCAGACAGCAGGGGACTTAGGAGTTTATTTTAGTTTACAGAGACTTTGAAGCAGAAGACCCAGTTAATAAGCCTGCCAGCATCCCTGACCTACAGAAGCTGTGAGATATTAAATATTGCTTCAGGCCACTAAATTCTGGGATACTTTGTTACAAAGCCACAGATGACTGCCACAGTTGCTTGCTTCTCAACTGGATGACCCTGGGCAAGTTTCTTAGCATCTCTGGGCCTTTATTTCCTCATCTATAAAATGGGCAGATGGCAGCACCTGCCTGATGAGGAGTGCTGAGGCCTGAGTTAGTGAATATGTGTAGTACACTGAGAATGGTACCTGGTAGCTAGTGTTTCAAGGTGGGGCTGGTTGGAGTGTGAGGTGCTAAGACAGCACATTTACTGATAATCATTTACTTCTCTGGGGGGATCCAAAGATGAGATGTGTGAAGCATATAGAGCTTAAATGTCATCTTTGCTCACATATTCAGCCACTGCAAAATCCTCAGTACTAGCAGAGACTAACATAGTCATGGAATCAAAGCCCTGAGAACCAAGCAGCATCACAGTTCATATATTCTTGTTCTAATTTCCTTTTACTGGTCTGGGGAGGAGGTGCCTTGTGCCCTTCTGCTGAGCTGTCAGTGGTAGGACACCCTGGAACTGGTTGCAGCAGGAAATACAGAATTACATAACAGACTGCTTTTCAATGTCAAACACGAATTCCTACTACCTACTTCTCACATCCTCAATGCCAAGCTTCAGTATCAAACATTAAACTACCAAATGAAAAACTAGTAAAAATGAGAAAACACTGGCCCTGCACTACGAGTATCCAAGCACCTGGGAATTGATGAAAATGTATGTTCTAATTAGGTGATTAGGTTATTTATAAGATTGTTGTTGGTGTCAAGAGAATGACTTCACTTTTTACAATAAAAATTGAAATATCTGTGGTATGCTTCTCCAGGCAGATTTTGGTTAAAACAAATGACATTTTCCAGTTTCCACATGTGAGGCGTGGACCACCACCTACAGAAGTCTGGCCTGCAGATCCTGACTCAAGGACGGATGAATGAATGCATTCTTACACCATTACATGAAACAAGTGGGCTAGGGATGGCCATTTTGTATGATTGGTGAAATGCAACCGATCATAGGAAGCTCCCTGTTTATCCACACTTTTATTCTGTAGACTTTACAATAGACGTTCTAAGTTAACGCACTTGTGGATAATTAACATGGTTAAGAGAGTGGTTTTGTGACTGATAAAAGCTTTAGGTTCCCGGGCTCAGAGTAAACACTGTTAACAGGTAATTTTCCTTTGACCTTCCCCTGAGAGGACCACCCAGCACAAAATTTACATGAAGAAACCGAGTGGAGACAATGGGATGTGGGGTAAGCAGACTTAAACTGGGAAGGCCTCTGATCGTCTTGCTTTCCTATGCTACTATTAATGAGGCAGCTGCCTTCAGCATGCCTCAAACTTCTGGCCTTCCAAAAGGTTTGAGATTATAATCTATAACTTTTCCTAATATTTAATATTTTGCCAGCCACCCCAAGTGAATATCAACAAAGATCTCTAAAATTTTAACCCATTTTAAACAACTGCAGAGGATCCAGAGAGTGTACTAATGGGATATGACCAGAACCCACATAAAGATAAGCCTCTTCATAAAACTGATCACATTTTCATGATCACGCTGCCCATTTGTATATTATGCTGTATTATGTATATTATGACAAGTCAATCTTTGGAAGCCAGGTTCCCTGGGAAACACTCTTCACTAGAGATTTGCATGCAGGAACTTTGGATCATTCCCTGAAGTCGTGTGAAGGAAGCAGGGTTGGGTGGATGGGGCTCAGGGAGACACAGGGCTGTGTCACAGGCATGACAGGCCCCAGCGGGTCCCATGGGGAGCTCTGGAGCTGGATGGCTTGGCAGAGTTGGGGTGAGAGTTGACACCACACCTCCAACATCAACCAGTCGTTAGATGTGGGGTGTGAGCTGCCCTGGGGAAAAGTGCGACCTTGGGCAGGAAGAATTTCTTCAGCTGGGGGAGCTCCCCAAGAGTGGCTCAGCTGCCAGAACTGCACAGCTTCAGACCTGAATATCTCCTTATCTGCTCCACCACTTCAATACGTCTGTTCACAAGGTCAAGTAATGATTAGAAAGACAGAAAGAGGAAGTATACCTCCAAACCACTAAAAAGTCACAAAATTGCATCAGTCTAAGGAAAGGGAAGAAAGGGAGAAAAAATGATAGGAATAGCAGGAAAACATAGTGAACAGAAAATGCAAAACAGCTCGCAAAATGGAAATGGGCCTGACATAGGCAAATGCTAATGGAAGATGCAGGTGTGGATACTTAATTAGGTTTTGAGTAGTGAAACACTGAGTTAAATATTTGAGAGAATCAGCTTGGTGAAATGCTCCCTCCCACTCCCGTGCCCAGCCCCATCCTCCATGGGCAGCCAGCAGTAGCATTTTCCTGTCCATCCTTCCAGGTACTCTGTGCAGATAGGTAGCTATGATTTTCCACTGTTAAACATTTTTTTTGAGATGGGTTGTTGCTCTGTTGCCCAGGCTGGAGTGCAGTGGCATGATCTTGACTCACTGCAACCTCCGCCTCCCAAGTTCAAGTGATTCTCCTGCCTCAGCCTTCCCAGTAACTAAGATTACGGGCACATGCCACAGCACCTAGCTAATTTTTGTATTTTTAGTAGACATGGGGTTTCACCATGAGCCTGATCTCAAACTCCTGACCTCAAGCGATCCGCCTGCATTGGCCTCCCAAAGTGCTGGGATTACAGGCATGAGCTACGTTGCCCAGCCCTGTTACACAAATATTGACATCTATTCAGAATGTTCTGTTCCTAGGATTTGTTTTTGTTTAATCATAGATCTGGCAGATCATTTCTTATCAGTACATAAGGAGCTTCTTTCGTTCCAGAGTGGCAGAGGGTCCCTTGTTTATCCAGATCCCTGTGCACATTGCTGCAGTTTTTGTTTTGATTCTTTGTGCATCTCGAACCTGTGAAGGATTCTGCCAGGATTGTCACCTCTGGAGGTGTCACAGCCAGCACAGCCATGACCAGGGATGAACTTGGTCGTTCAATTTTTCACTCTTCAAAGTGGTACAAGTTTAAGGAGTAGTGGCATTCAGCCAAGAGGCTGCTACAGGGATATGGGTACTTTTAGATTTGCCGGGTCTTCTTGGAAGATCGGCTTTCCATGTGCTTCTGATTTGTTTCCAGGGAGGTGGTGGTGTTCGTGTTTGATGAAGCTGCTGACACCACCATGCTGACGTCCTGCGAAGTGAAAGTCTGAGTTCAGAGAAGGTGGCTGCTCAGGGCTTCGTCCGCAGTAGTGGCAAAAAGCCAGTGACTCAGATGGATGATGACCTTCACTTACAGCAGCTGGTCAACGACCAAGTTCCTCCCTGGTCATGGCTGTGCTGGCTGTGACACCTCCAGAGGTGACAATCCTGGCAGAATCCTGCACTGGTGCGAGATGCACAAAGAATCAAAACAGAAACTGCAGCGATGTCCTTAAATGTCACCCGAAAGTCCAAGACCAGGTTTTTTGCCTGGTGTCTTTCACTGGCTGAAATTAATTCTTAGGACAACATCTGCTCCTTATAAACTCAAGCAAGAGGTTAGCATCACTCCTTTTCTGCATCATGCTTACATTGACTTATTTGTTTTGTTTGCTATCTGCCTCCTTCCCTTTTGAAAGCAAGCTCCATGAAGACGGGGAAGTTTGTCTCCATTCCCAGTGTTGCCCTCAGTAAGTGTTTATTGAATGAATGTTGGCGAACAATTCTCCAGCATCTGGTGTCCTGTGTGATCCCAGACTTCCAGGGGGAGCCTTGGTTACTTGTCCCTGCCACAGGAGGCTTCTCTGCTGTGCTGATTTTTTTTCTTTTTCTTTTTTTTCTTTTCCAAGACAGAGTCCTGCTCTGTCGCCAGGCTGGAGTGCAGTGGCGAGATTTCAGTTCACTGCAACCTCTGACTTCCTGGTTCAAACCGTTCTCCTGCCTCAGCCTCCAAAGTAACTAGGATTACAGGCTCCCACCACCACACCTGATTAATTTCTGTATTTTTAGTAGAGACGGGGTTTCACAATGTTGGCCAGGATGGTCTGGATCTCCTGACCTCATGATTTGCCCACCTCAGCCTCCCAAAGTGGGGATTGCAGTTTGGAAGGAAGGAGGTGGGACCAGTGCTCTGGCCATCCACGTGTGAGGTGTGTGGGGTCTTTGATTTGCCTCCCTCCCCTCACTTGTCACAGGACTCCAGGAAGGGCTCTTGGCTGACCCCGTCGGTCAAGGACACCTGCGTAACCAGAGTAGCGGACTCTGATCCAGGCAATGCTTGCTCACCGTCTTCTACCTGAGCCGCAGGTCCCCTCTTGGAGCCCCCTTTTTTTCTTAGCCAACATTTGTCAAGGGCTCAGTGTCTCAGTTCAACATGGAAACACGCTCCCTGGTGGTATCATGGCCTGGCTCGTCTTCCATGAAGAAGCTGAGGGGCAAGCAGAGGGGTCGGCTCGAGGAGGAGCTGGGGTTTCTCTCCTGCCTCACAAGGACAGCATCTGGAGCTGGAGGTGGGCCTGGCCCCCACTCTCCTTGGACGGCACTGTGGCTTTCCCAATGGCGTGCAGGCATATCCTTTACTTTTATGTTCACACGAGATCTGTGAGGTGCCTCGGGGAAGGAGTTTTCATCTGACCCAAGAAAAAATCAGGGTCACTTAAAGATCTGCATTTAGGGGCAGCCCAGTGGGAAACCAGGTTTCCTGATTTGGAGCCCGAATTTTTCTACCAAAACGTGGTGAAGCAATTTTTAGAGGAAAGTTGATGGAGAAGAGGCGATTAGGACATTCCCAGCAAGCTCAGACTCCTTGCTGTAGCCACAAAGCCCCCACCGCGACCCCAGCGCCAGTGATGGCCCCACCCACGGGCTGGCCCCGCCCCCTCCCTGGTGCCACGCCCCCAGCCGGCCACGCGAAGGGGCCTTCTGATTCCGAACCAGCGACTTTGTACATGCTGTTCCTGTGCGTGGAAGGATCTCATGCCCTCACTCCACCCCTCGCATCCCCAAAATCACTTTGCCGAACTTCCAGTCGCTCAGGCTTCAGTTTAAGTTTCGCTTCCTCCAGGGGCCATTGCTGAACCCGTCCACACTGGGCTCCTCTGGTTCCTTCCATCTGGTAACTTGTGGGTTTCATTCATGGGACTCACTGCAACTCGCAGTCCAAAGCCCCCGTGCGTGATGACCTTCTGAGGCGTCTCCCGGCACTGGCGCACCAGCTCCATAGGCACGTTCTGTCCACGGAGCCTTCCAGGTGCCTTGTGTCCGGCGAGGTCAGCACGAGGTGTTCAGGAAATACTTACTACATAGTAAAGGATGGGGCCCTTGGAGGCTCCTGCATGGATGCGATGAAGGCTGTGCTTGCCTGTGTGGCCTGGAGGTCAGCCGCCGGGCCTGGCTGGGCAACCACACGGCAGCCGGGATGGGAGCCTGACCAGGCTGGTTGAGGTGCTGGCTGGTGGCAAGGAAGTAGGAGCCTCTGCTGTGCGCCAGGCACTCTGGGGTGCAATGGTGAATCCACCTTACCCGGTGAACGCAAAGTCTCTAAAAGGACGGCGTTAGATGGCGCTCAGTGCTCTGAGGGACAGAGCCTTGTCCTAAGAGAGCCACAGCCCCTAAGGGAGCTAAGCTGAGGCCCTGCCTGAGGAGGAAGGGTAGAGAGTAGAGGAGCAAGGCTGAGCGAAAGGGAGCTGGGAGAGAAGATACGCGTGTGTCTGAGGGTTGGGTCTAGTCTGAGGGAGAGGGAGGGCTGGGTAGCAAGCAGGGGGTGGAGCACCCACTAAGCGCAGCCCTTGCCCCACTCTGCTGAGTCTACACTAGGACGTTCATCTGCCCTAACACTGCACACCTGCGAATGTCTTAGAGGCACTTTTCATGCTGTTGACAGGTGAGGAAACTGATGCTCATGATGGGCCCCGTGCAGCGCGCCACCTCAGCTGGCCCAGTGGCAGAGCTGGAGTGCACTGCCTGTGAATGACTCCAAAGTCACCACACGCTGATCTAGGATGTGATGTTCTGTCTCCACCACTCAAGGCAAGCTTTGGCCAAACAACCTTCTTTAGAGTGAAGTTTCTGGATTTCCTAGGAGTTGCAAAAAGTGACCTCCTTGGCACTCTCTGAAATCATTCCTTTTTACATTCTGCTTAAAATCCACATTTTTAAGAAATTCCACATTGAACTGGCTTAATTGCATGCCCTTTCAGGACAAGAGAAGTGGGCGTCAAGTGGTTGCTTTCCCTGTGAATTTCAGGGTTGGATAACTTTTCTCACAAGCCCTTCGGGGACTGGCCAGTGCTCAGGAACAGTGTCCAGTGTGTGCTGGGACAGCAGGAGAAGGTGGCCACCTCTCAGGAAAGGAGGGAGAAAATGACTCACTTGGAAGCTGGCTTGGGGTGGGCCTGCCCTTTTCATTGCCTGCTACTCCATCATTTCGGTCTCCTGGGGCTGCCATCACAAAGCAGCAAAAATTAGAAACTTAAAGAACCAAGACAGATTGTCTCTCTGTTCTGGAGGTGGGACGTCCAAAGTCAAGGTGTGGACAGTGCAGGGAGGAGTGGTTCCAGGCCTCTCTTCTTGTCTCGTCCATGGCCATGTTCATGGTCACATGGTGTTCTCCTTGTGTCTGTGTGTTTCTGTGTGTGTGTGTGTGTGTGTGTGTGTGTGTGTGTCTGTTGCCACATTTCCCTTTTTTTAAAAAAAATAAGGACATGGGTCACATGGGCTGATGCCTCACCCTAATGACTCGATTTAACTTGGTAAAGCCCCTCCCTCCACATGAGTTTCCATCCTGAGATGCTCGGGGTTAGGACTTTAGCACATGCATTTAAAGAGGGCCACAGTACAGCCCATTGCACGTGTCCTGGGGCCAGGTGCAGGGAGCACACAGCATTAGATGGAAGATGGACACGGCCATGCTGAGCAGCTGGGCAGGGTGAGGTGGAGGACGGCCCGCAGGCCAGGCTGATGGGCTCTGGACCAGCACAACTGCACGGGCTAAAGAGGGTTTGTGATGCTGACAGTTGTGATGCTTTGCTCACAGGAGGCTGGGTGCCAGCTTTGGGGGGAAAAGACAATATTAGGAGCTCAGCACCTCAAGAAGGAATTGAACCAGGGATTTTTTTTTTTTTTTTTTTTCATCATCCCAAAGCAGAAATTGCTGATCATGAGGGCCGGGCACTGCACTACTTTGTCTCTTGACCTTTCAGGTCCTCACAACAACCTGGAAACAGAGACACTCAGTGTTGCCACACCCTCGGCCTTCGCATCGCCAAGGCTGGGCAGAGTGGTTTGGATTAAAGATTTGATAATAAGGAAAAAATTAAAGTCCAGCTTATCTTCTCCTCTTCCCTTTTGAGGGAGAACTCGGAGAGGATTGGGCCTGGAGAGGGGAAGCTGAGCATGTTCTTGGGTACCAGCCACAGCCCTCCAAGGCTCACCAACCAAGGGGAACCATGGGGAACCAGCTTCATGGAAAAACACCCCCCCCATTCCTTTTCTCCCTCCTTCCTTCCCTCTGTCCTCCCCTCCTGTCTGCCAAGCCCTCCCCTGCAGCACACACAGTCTGGATGCTGGCAACATCCTTAAATACAGGCCTTGCCCTGGAGTGGCTCCCCGGGGAATCAAAGTAATTCTCAAATCAATATATTATGTATCATGTGCATACTGCACCACAGATGACATATGTGATGTACATGTATATGTGTAAGGCAACATCCAATGATACCATGGAAAGGCAAGTCCCTCACTCCCTGCTGACATTCTTAGCTGCGATGTGACCCCAGGAGTGGGGACTGTGCAGTGGGGTCTAATTCCTCAGAGGAGAGACTCCCTTGTGCTTTTATTAGGGGGCACAGTTTAAAAGCATACGTATTTAGTGTTATGAATATAAATTCTACGTTTGGAAGAGGAAACTAAAAACTTAGAAAAAATAACATAAATTGCAGAAAATTAAACTCAGATTTTTTGTCTGTGGAGCTACATAGAAGACTCACCTTCTGGGGTGACGGCACCCCCCTTGCCCTCATTTACCCCCATCCGGAGCCTATAGGAGAGGTCAGCTTGGGGAGAGAGATGTTCAGCTTGGTCCAAAGCAGTTTCAGGGAGTCTCGGAACCCAGGGCTGCAGACGCAGGAGGCGGGGATGGCGCCCACACCCGCGCCCCGCAGGCCTGTGGCTCTCACCAGGGGATCCCTCCCTCTCCTCTGCCACCTGGAATGGACAGAGCACCTGGCGCGCATATAGGGGGCAAACGCCGCAAGTTTCTGTGACGTGAGTTCTTTGCGGGCTTTCCACGGACACGCGCACGCGCCCTGCGCCCCCCACGGCGCGCACTTGCGGCTGGAGCTGGCGCCCCTCAAAGCCCCCTGCCCCGGAGCCCGCAGCGCGCCGCTGGAGGAGCTGCAGAAAGGGACCCATGCCGCAAAGGCGCGGGTGCCCAGGACCTCGCGGGGTCCCGGGGCGGGAGCTGACGAGCCCGGGCTGGGCAGCCCCATCTCTACCGCGCGCCCCGCGCGCCCCGCGCGCCCCGCGCGCCCCGCGCGCCCCGCGCGCCCCGCCTCCCGCGGCTCCTCCGCCCAGCGGCCAGCAGGGGGCGCGGCCGGGCTCCGAGTCCGGGCACTGGGCGGCGCCGCGGCTGCCGAAGGCCGGAGGAGGGTGCGCAGCGAGACTGCGGCCAGCCCCACGCCCGGCAAGCCGGGGCCACGTATGGAGGCAGCCTGGGCGCCGGGGAATCCGGCGGGCGGGGAGGACCCTGCGCGGCCCGTGAGGCGCTCCGGCCTAGTCCAGGCCACACAGCTGTGCAGGGCGGGGACGGGCCACACGCCACGTGCGCCTTAATACGCGGCGAATAAGAGACCAGAGGGCGCGGGGCGGACGACGTCCTCTGAACAAACCGTCCGGCCCCACGCGCCGTTCGCCCCTCCTGACCCTGTCCCGTCGGTGGGAGCCAGGCCAGGGAATATCACGAAGGACTCTCCCCCACCCCACCCCCGGCGAGGACTCGGCTGACCTGCTCAGGGCGCCAGCCTCCCACAGACAGGTGGCTTCGCCCTCCCCTGGCCGGAGTTGGGGTGTGCGTCCACGCTCTGAGCGCTGGACTCCGGGAGGCACCCACCGTGTCAGCGGAAGGGCGCATCTATCCATTTGAGATCGGGTACCAAAGAGCTGCAGAGCACGGCTCCTCGATGTGGAGGCATTAGGAAGCGAATCGTCTCCTTGGGATGAGTGATGAAGGACTCCACTTTACAGAGGAAGAAAGAAAACCGTGCCAGCAAATCAGTCACCTTCCTACTCCAACCTAACTGATCAGTTAGGTTATTGATGAGGTTATTGATAGGCTGGACACCAGTGAGCTGAGAACGAGCAGTAATTAATTCCCAGTGTCCACAAAGAGCCTAACGGCGACCGTCTCTCCATGTCCCCTCCCTGCCCAGGGGCCACCAGACACCTGGGCACTGTTCACTGGGTTTTCCTGCAGGGCAGCGTGGGGGTGGGCACAGGATGACCCCTCTCCTTCCCGAGCCCTTAATTTCTCATTGTTATATGTGTCCTTCTACCAGGGAAAGCTGAACCCAGGATGAGCTTATTCAAAGTGTGTGTTTCTATTCCCCTCAAAAGGAATTGGCAGGAAACGTGTTTCTCTTTTTTACTCTCTGGAATTTTATCTGTATCTTGAAACTCCTGCCAAAACCCACAATCAAAAGCAATGCATTATGTAAAAATCAATTGAATTTCAACTAGAAATGGAATGTGAACATTATAAAGCAGAAGCTGCTCTTCAGCTCTTCTCCTGGGTTCCCAGAGAAACCAGGCAAGGAGATGACCTGTGGGCTGGGCAGAATCTGGGGGAGACCAAGGATGGGCTCCCTGGGGCCTGTGCTCCCTGGGACCAGTGGCCTGTGTGACCTCAGGAGACACCCCACGGTGTCTCAATTCTCTCACTGCTGAAACTGGCAGGTTCGACCTATGGATCGTCTGTATCCCTTCCAGCTCAGATCTGTCATTCCACGGGTAGGTGCTGAAAATGTAGAGGCCCCACTTGGCCACCTGCCAAGTTACCTGCTTGGGGAAGGTTTCATGATCATCACTTGCGTCCTGTCCTTGACTAAAGGTTCTTCTCGTGAGTTCCTCAGATCTCGTGAGCTACTCCAACTGTTGACATACAGATCAAAATGAAAAAGGACACCGATTCATTTCTATTTATTATTATTATTTTTTGGAAATAGGGCCTTGACCTGTGGCCCAGGCTGGAATGCAGTGGCACAATCATAGCTCACTCTAACCTCTAATTTCTGGCCTCAAGGAATCCCCACCTCAGCCTCAAAAAGCACTGGGATCACAGGCAGAGCCAGTGTGTCTGGCCCGGATTTGCCTCTGATTCACGACGTTTTGCCAGTTGTCTTGCAGATAGAATGCTTTAGCCTGTGTGTCTGTTGTGATCTGAAGATAATGATTGTAGCCTCTTTGGGACACCCTGGTACCTTCAGATGGAAAGGACAACTCGAATGTAAGGAGTGTCCTCCCCTCCCTGCTCCTCAACTTTCCCGTAGAAATATTCCGACCCCGGAACAGTCCTCACATTTGGCTTCCAGTAAACCTTTCTCAACTTATTTTTGCTTCAATAGCCTTAATTTTGGCTGAGCGTATTAAGCAGCTTAGCTGCCATGGAGTTAAATTTCTTACCGTATGTGTGTGAGAGAGGGGGAGGTGCAGGGATTTAAAGTCAGCAGACTTACAGTCTTGGAGTGGGAAAGGCTTTTAAAATTTTGACCCCCAAACCCAGATATATTAAAAAAAATCATAAATTCATCTGCACAAAAATCTTCTAAACAAAAAAAGGCCCATAAAATAGTCATGACAAAAAAAAGTATCCCAAATCAAAGTGCTTATATCTTCTTCAAAAAACAAAGAATGCCTCCAAGTCAAATGGAAAAAAGATCAACGAACAGAGAAAGAGGTAAAAATAGTTATCTCTCTATATACACTAATGGCCGATAAACATGTGGACACATGCCCTGTTTTATTAGAGGGTGCAAAGTTGAACAGTGAGCTTCCCTCCACAGCTGTATTGGCCGGGCACCCTCCTATATTTCGGATGAGGTTATGCATTGATTAAATCTACTGGCTAGCAATAATTATCAAACTAAAAATGCTCATACCTTTTGACTTAGGAATTGTACTTCCAGGAATTTATCCAACACATCTTTTCGTAGGTGTTCGAGGCAGACATGCAAAGTTAATCACACAGCCTCGAAAGAGTGAAGGATCCGAAACCACCTGCTAATAGGAAACTGATTGAATAAATTACCACGTATTCACAAAAGGGAATGATGTCATGCACTTGCTTAAAGAGTTGGGCAGCTCCGTATTTGCCGATGCGTGTTGCCAATATATCTTGGTGAATGCGGAAAAGCAAGGTGGTGCCGATGGGCAGAATCTCCGATGTCTGTCTGCTTTACATGGATCTCTCTGGAAAGAAACGCAGG